CGCGCCGCCTGGAAGCCAAGGGGGAGAGGAAAGAGTAACCAAACTAACACAGCGTATGAAAACTGCAATTGGCTAGCTAGTAAAACATGGTCTATTCAGGCTACGAGTTTTTTACCGTTGAAAAAAATCTCTCTTCACCTCTTAAACTTGGGCGCGCCGCCTGTAAGCTAAGAGGGAGAGGAGAGAAAAAATTACTGAATTATCCAAACTAACATCGCATGAAAACTGCAATTGGCTATCTAGCTAAAACATGACGATTCAATCTACGAGTTTTTTACCTTAAAAAATCTCTCTTCACCTCTTAAACTTGGGCGTGCCGCCTGTAAGCCAAGAGGGAGAGGAGAGAATAATCCACTGAATTATCCAAACTAACATAGCGCATGAAAACTGCAATTGGCTAGGTAGTAAAACATGATCGATTCAAGCTACGAGTTTTTTACCCTTGAAAAAAATCTCTCTTCACCTCTTAAACTTGGGCGCGCCGCCTGTAAGCTAAGAGGGAGAGGAGAGAATAACCTACTGAATTATCCGAACTAACACAGCGTATAAAAACTGCAATAGGCTAGCTAGTAAAACATGATCGACTAAAGCTACGAGTGTTTCAATTTAAATAAATCTCTTTTCACCTCTTAAACTTGGGCGTGCCGCCTGGAAGCCAAGAGGGAGAGGAGAGAGTAACCAAACTAACACAGCGTAAGAAAACTGCAATTGGCTAGCTAGAAAAACATGGTCTATTCAGGCTACGAGCTTTTTGCCCTTGAAAAAAATCTCTCTTCACCTCCTAAACTTGGGCGCGCCGCCTGTAAGCTAAGAGGGAGAGGAGAGAAAAAATTACTGAATTATCCAAACTAACATAGCTCATAAAAACTGCAATTGGCTAGATAGTAAAACATGATCGATTCAAGCTACTAGTTTTTTACCCTTAAAAAAATCTCTCTTCACCTCTTAAACTTGGGCGCGTCGCATGTAAGCCAAGAGGGAGAGGAGAGAATAATCCACTGAATTATCCAAACTAACATAGCGCAAGAAAACTGCAATTGGCTAGGTAGTAAAACATGGTCTATTCAAGCTACACGTTTTTTACCCTTGAAAAAAATCTCTCTTCACCTCTTAAACTTGGGCGGGCCGCCTGTAAGCTAAGAGGGAGAGGAGAGAATAACCTATTGAATTATCCGAACTAACACAGCCAATAAAAACTGCAATATGCTAGCTAGTAAAACATGATCGACTAAAGCTACGAGTGTTTCAATTTAAATAAATCTCTCTTCACCTCTTAAACTTGGGCGCGTCGCATGTAGGCCAAGAGGGAGAGGAGAGAATAATCCACTGAATTATCCAAACTAACACAGCGTAAGAAGACTGCAATTGGCTAGCTAGTAAAACATGGTCTATTCAGGCTACGAGCTTTTTGCCCTTAAGAAAAATCTCTCTTCACCTCTTAAACTTGGGCGCGCCGCCTGTAAGCTAAGAGGGAGAGGAGAGAAAAATTTACTGAATTATCTAAACTAACACAGCGCATGAAAACTGCAATTGGCTAGCTAGCTAAGACATGACGATTCAATCTACGAGTTTTTTCCCCTTTAAAAATCTCTCTTCACCTCTTAAACTTGGGCGCGCC